GGGGTATTGGTGCCAGTACTGACTGCCGGGGGAGAGCGTCCCAGCCCTGCCCCATGCCGCCCCCCAGCGAGGCTCACCTGTAGCTGGAGAGGTCGGGCTCGGTCAGGAACTCCCGCAGCAGCATGCCGTCCGTCATGTACTTGAGCAGCGTGCGCTCCGACGTGCAGTCCTCAAAGCGGATGCTGTAGCCCACCTGCCAGGCGGGAGGGATTAGCCCGAGCTACCGCAAAACCACCGGCCAATACGAACGCAGCGTGACTGGCACCCGTCGGCCAATGAGAACGCTCCACGGTCCCGCTCGGGGCACTGTTTTACAGTGAGCTGCTTCTGACTGCAGTCAGATCCAGTGGAGGCCCGGCTTTGACCACACGGGGGAGCCGAAGAGAAACAAGGAGACCTCCCGCATCTCTGGTGGGTGGGGGTGGAGGGGATACCTGTTGGCCGGGTGTGGGAGGGGTCACAGGAATGGACCTAGTTAATTGTAGTCACAAGGAAAGCGACAAGGGCCTTTTCCCTCCATGGGGCATTAGCTCCCAGCTGGTCTGAGGGCAGGGGGACTAGTTGGCTCAGGGGAGTGAGGAATGGGACACAGGACCTTTCCCATCTAGGGGGCACTGGCTCTGATCCAGCCCCAGGGCAAGGGGACTGGCTAGCCAAGGGGGTGGGAGAAAGGACATGGGGCCTGTCCTTTCTAAGGGGGCTGCTTCTAGCTCAGGCAAGCGGGGAAGGGGATAACGAACCCACCAGTCACATACCTCATTACCAAGCTTAACTCCCATTTCCTGAGAGACTCTGGCTGCAACACTCATGGCCGCCACTCGTCTGGGTTGGGTGCAGCCAATCTTCATCCCCTTCTCCGTGTAGCCCTAACAAAGGAAACAAGACGGTTCAGGGACCGGATGGAAATTCCCCAGGAGCAGCTGCCAGAGCAGAAATGCAGCCTTTCCTGGGGTGGGGCAGCCTGATAACAGCCTCACCGTCACGCTGCACAGGGATTGCTTGCCCAGTGTGGAGATGCAGCCACCTCTGGGGAGGGGTGCAGCTGGGGTCAGCACTGAATGTGAGGGGAGAACACTCCCTGTGGCACAATGCCACCCCACTGCATTGCAGCCAGCACTGATCGTGGGGAAACAGCACCCCCTACTGAGCCTCCCAGCCTGCTCCCTGCAGCACAGCGCCCCCTAGCACTGGGTTCAGCACTAACTAGGAGAGAAGAGTCCCCCCTCCCCTCCCAGCCCCTGTCCTGCCACGCCGTTACCTCCTCGTACAGGTACTGGGGGATCTGCGTGGTCTTTCCAGAGCCCGTCTCCCCCTCGATGATGAGGATCTGGTGCTCGGCGATGGCCGCCAGCAGGTCCTGGCGGTATGGGTAGACGGGCAGGCTGCGCCGCACCTCCTGCATGGACAGCTTCCTCCGCGCCGCCTCTGACAGCTCCGACTTCTCCTCCTGAGCAGGGGGATGGGACACCATCGGCTCAGCCACCCAGGCTGGGGGGACAGCCGCTGGATCTCCAGACGGGAGTCAATCCCATAGAGTTCTCAGTCCTCCCGGTGCCAGAGAGGACCAGGAGACGCAGGTTGGGGTGAGAGAGGGGGCTGGGAAGGCCATCGTTTCACCCAATGGGGACTGTTCCCTTTTTGCTCACCCCATACAGCGTCCCCTGCCCATGGGCCTCCTCAGCGCTGCCCCAGCAGGGATCCCCCTCTAGGGGGCAGAGGGGAGCTCAGCACCACTGCCTGTTCAGCTCTCAGCCGCCCTTGCTTGGAAAATGGGTGGAGGGAAGGGGTTTGGGAATGGGACGGCTGCCCTGCTGGGGGCTGGGCTGAGACCTGGTGACTTGTTACATCTACATGGGAATGATCATCCTATGCCCCACCCCCAAGCCAGCCAATCCCCCCAGCTGGGCTGGATCAGAGCTGATGCCCCCTAGAGGGGAAGGGCCCCAGGTCCCATTCCCCAGGCCCCCAGTGTGGGGCCGAATTGGAGCCAGCGACCCCTAGAGGGGAAAGGCCTCATGTCCCATTCCCCACCCCCCGAGCCAGCCAGTCCCCTGCCCTAGGGCCGGATCAGAGCTGGCGCCCCCTACAGGGGAAGGACCCAGCCCCCATTTCTCACCTTGTCCTGGGCCGTGCCCTGCATATGCACAGCGCTGACGAAGTGGATCATCTCGTCCTCCTCCAGCACAAACTCGTAGTCCTTGCCGGGGTGGCGCTGGCCGGCGTCGCGGGCCCCGAAGCGCAGGGCAGCCGCTCCGATGTGATCCTCCTCCCAGCGCCGCTGCTCATCCCGCGGCGTGGCGCGCTCGTCCGCCACCGGCTCCTCGTAGCGGTCGGGGATCTTCTGCCGGGGGAGGGGCGGGGGTTGAGTCACGGCACAGGGGACGCCGCGGGGGCAGGGCCAGGGAGAGCCCAGCTCTGAGGAAACTCTGACATCAACCCCGGCTGCGCGTGGGCTGCGGGTCAGCCTTCAGGGGTCACCCCCAGACTGGAGCAGGGGAGACGGCAGGGCAGGAGGGGTCACAGCCCAAGCTGCAGGGGTTCCAGATTTGAGTCCCCACCACAATCCTGCCCCTTTCGCCAGCCCAAAACTGGCCTTTCCCCGGGAGATCCCCCCACAGTTCAGTACAACCAGCCCCAAGGGGGAGATGTTTCCCACCCCGGTATGACGCTGGCCCAGCCAGCCATGCTGCTAATGCCAACCCTCCTTCCTCCCAACAAGGGGACCACCCCAGGGAACGCTCATAGGGCACGGACCCGTCACCCTGCCGGGTCCTAACCCCCTTCCTTCACCCCCAGTGAGCGTTCTCAAGTGGGTTACGCTCCTGTCTCCTGCCGCAGGGACTCCCACGCCCCCGCTGTCCCCCTCCTTCCATCTCCCCAGCCCCTGGGCAAGGACACCTGCCCCAACTTTCTACGGGGCTACCCCCTGCAGATCACATGCTTCACTGGCCCCTAGGCAGGGTACTTCCAGGAAGACTGCCACCTCCGGCCTTACCAATTCCCCAGCCCCACAGCAGGTACCTTGC